GAACCCTAAATAAATTCAAACCTTGATGAGTGTATGTAAAGTTCTGACCACATCTGTATACAACCTATTTGTCAACATATAAACAAGGTTATTAGACAGAGGAAATCTCTTTCTGGCATATGATCACTGGCTTGTGGCCTTCCATGGCTAAATTGACACAGACGATCAACAGATGACAAGTTTATTTTCCTCACCATCCAAACCCGAGTCCGCTGCCAGCTTCTGCATCTCTTTCCTTTTGTAAAACCGATTCAGAACCTTCAGCAGCTCATCTGAATCACAGACAAACAAAGACAAGAAGATGTTGCATCATCTGAGAAAAATCACCTCCACCTTTATAATCATTCGCAAGCAATAGAACAAGTATACACTTTAATTATATTTTAGTTTTTAAAAATAACTAAAAACAACACCCAGTATTATCTTTTACATTATTCGGTCCAGAGTAGTTTAACTGACCAACTTAGGTTTCGTTTACTCACTTTTATCAAGCGGCTGAGTGAGCTCTATTCCCACAACGCCGTCTGCCGAGGCGTCTGCATTCAGGGAGACGGGGACAAACAACGAGGTGTCCGGAGGTTTCGGAGAGGAGCTGTTAGACGAAACATCCCTGCTCCAGACCACTGTACCGGGTCGATGCTGTCCCTGTAACAAACTAGACCCAGAGGACACATGACAGCTGCTGGTGGTGATGCGAGGAGTCCGGGAGTTAAAGTGACGCTGAAGCCGAGAAATGAAACAAACACAGCGGTTCACCGACATGTCGGCTGTGGGCGAGATCCTCAAGGACTACACAAAAAGTTTGCCAGGCTCACTCCATAAGGCCAGGTAAGTGTGAATAAATGGCTCACACAGCAACAGAGGACGGTCAACACACTCCTCTTCCTGACCTGCTGGTAGCACAACGTGCTGCAGGACCAGTCCGTATATAGGCCCCCACATATGTGCCTGAGTAAAAAGAAAAAATAAATAAATTGCTGTCGAGATTAATGATTGTATAATAGATGGACGGCATGGTGTCACTTCCTCATACTGTACCAAAACCATCAAATAAATCGACAGTTTATGGGGAATATTATGTCACCTACTTGGAGTTAGAGTCTGCGCAGTAGTGGTTTGGGGTGAAGTCGCTGCATCGAACTCCCTCCCTCCCACCAGTAAAACTGTTAAATGTGGATGGTTAAACTCTCTCCTCTAAGTTCCTGTTAGTAAATGATTTAATTATTGATCGACATATTGGTTTGCTCTGCCTTACAGAAAGTTGGTTACAGCAGGATGATTATGGTAATTTAATGAATCAAGGGTTAGAGTTAGATTAACAGGCAGAATGCTAGAACCACGGGCTGAGGAGGGGGAGTGGCAGCAAGTTTTCCCTCCAGCTTTTTTTTTTTTTTTAAATCAACCATAGACCCAGACGATTTTAATTCTTGTGACTGTCTTACTCTTAGCCTTGTCCTCTCTAACTGGGAACACTGATAACCAATTTTATTTGTTATCTATTCCCCACCTGGCCTTTACTAAGATTTTCTCTCTCACACTGTCTCTTTAGTACTTAGTTTAGGTAAAATAATTACTGTGGATGAATTTATCCATAAAGATGAAAATGACAGAATCAATACAGCATTTAATCTAGTATTAGATTTATTTGGATTCTCGCAAAATGTAAAAGAGCCCACCCACTGTAGTCTGGAGCTTGTTCTGACATGTGCCATAGAAACTGAATATTTAATAGAATTCCTTGAAAACCCTATTTTGTCTGATAATAATAATTCTTAATATCATTTAAATTTACATTAATGGATTACACAGCAGTGGGGAAGACATTTTATTATAGTAGATGTCTTTTTGTTGTAACCAAATGTAACAATATAATTTCTCCTCAGTTACTTTCGTCAATACAGTGTGCCAACACAGTCACAGAGCTCTGTTGAAACAAGCATTCCTTTAACATTAACTAGTATTGACTTCATGAGTTTCTTCACAAACAAAATTTAACCATTAGATAAAAAAATATTCATAATCATCTCACAGATGTATCATTATGTTCAGCCTTTACCACAGGCCTTTAAGGTGGCAATTATTAAAAACTCTGGTCATCACTTGACCCAGTTGTCTTAGTATCGAACCAGATCCTTACGCTGAATGGCATTGTCTTGATCTACAGTAACATTGTGAGGAATCGTGGAGTCATTTTTGTGAAGTTAATGTGTTGTGTAGTCGTTGTTTTGTTTTGTGTGTCAGTGAGGGCACTAATGGATGTCACATAGGCAGAATGCAACGTGAACAGTGTCTCCTAGTGGAAATCAGAAGGAGTGATACACTGTCAGGGTTTCTCCCTGTGGTGTTCTTCTCTGTCTTGTGGTGGACATTTTTATTTTTTTTTACTGGCGCAAATAATTTGTGGGGCATCTTATTGTGACACCTGATTGTTCTTTCATTAAGTAGTATTTTTTTTTTTTACTTTTAACTAGTTTTAAAAATGTACAATTTATATTTGCATTTCAAGTTATGAAAATCATTTACTAAACATGTCTGTGGTTTCAGTAAAAAGAAAATATAACTACTACTAGGATTTTATGTTTTTGTGTGATTTCAAATCAGTTGTGTTAGTACAGCATGTTAATGAAAAAATAACTGCAAATTCAAACATGTGAGGTTGTGCTGAAAAGAATGATACCAAGCAAGGCAAGGTAAAAAACAACAACAAAAAAACCCCAATCAAAAGTAGCCAGAAATGGCCAATTATATTTTGGACCTCAGAATATTAATCCAACAAATCATGAAAAACTGTGTTAAAACCTTTTAAATTTTCTACTTATTGGGTACATATTTATTTATTATACAAGCTATAAATTACATAATATTAAAATTCACATGTTTATGTAACTGAAATGTTTCATTATGTGGGCTACATGAATTAATAAAGAAGTTATAGTTACTATATTTATATGTAACATGTGCATACTTACTGCATTTTAATCTTTATAACCATATGTAACACCTGCATATGTGTTTAAAAAAGGCTTTGATTTTGCTACCCCATTTGATTTCCATGCCACCCTAGAAAAAAATTCTCTAGATCTGCCCGTTTTCACAAAGTATTTAGTCAGGACTGGATCAGGTGACTCTGAATCCTCCCTTAGTTACACCGCATTAGGCCTAGGCTGCTTGGGGCTTGTATTGAGTCTTTCTTCTTCACTCAACTTTTTCACTCATGATGCGCTTATATACCACTCAGCATTAAATCATTAGTTATTATTAATCTCTAATGCTCTTCCACAGTGTTTCTTCTGCCCTCTCTCTTTCCCCATGACCCCCAACTGGTTGCAGCAGTTGGCTGCCCCTCCCTGATGTTACAAACACTTCACATGATCCCGAGATAAAGCACAGAAGCTCTGGACTTCTACATAATGATGCTATGTTCAGTCCTGTAGAAACCTATATTATTAAAATGTATATTACTGTCTCTTGATTACCTTATGCCAAATAAAACACACTATTACAAAACACTGTTCTACATTAAAGTTTTTAGTTCAACATACAAGTGAAGACCTTTGACCGTCTATCAGATTTTATTTAATGTTGTCAGAGAAAGATATCATATCGTTTTCATGAAGGGGACTACATTTCAATGTTAAAAGCAGAAGCCGTCTGTGATCAACAGCTATCTTATACACCAAATTCAGTTACTGTTTATGCTCCTGAATGTAAAGAGCAGCGTGTAAATGGTCAAAGATAAGGATATATACACTATTATTGCCAAAGCTATTTACCTTCACACACATATGAACTTGAGTCCCATCCCATTCTTAATCCATTGGGTTTAATATGAAGTTGGCCCACCCTTTGCAGCTATAACAGCTTCAATTCTTCTGGGAAGGCTTTCCAGAAGGTTTAGGAGTGCGTTTATAGGAATTTCTGACCATTCTTCCAGAAGTGCATTTGTGAGGTCAGACACTGATGTCGGACGAGAAGGTCTGGCTCGCAGTCTCCGCTCTAACTCATCCCAGAGGTGTTATATTGGGTTGAGGTCAGGGCTCTGTGCAGGCCAGTCAAGTTCTTCTACACCAAACTCAGTCATCCACGTCTTTATGGACCTTGATTTGTGCACTGGGGTGCAGTCATGTTGGAGCAGGAATGGGCTATCCCCAAACTGTTCCCACAAAGTTGGGAGCATAAAATTGTCCAAAATGTCTTGGTACGCTGAAGAATTAAGAGTTTCTTTCACTGGAACTAAGGGGCCAAGCCCAACTTCTGAAAAACAACCCCACACCATAACTCCTCCTCCACCAAACTTCACACTGGGTACAATACAGTCAGACAAGTACTGTTCTCCTGGCAACCGCCAAACCCAGACTTGTCCATCGCATTGCCAGACAGAGAAGCATGATTCACCACTCCAGAGAACACGTTTCCACTGCTCTAGAGTCCAGCGGCGGTGTGCTTTACACCACTGCATCCGGCGCTTTGCATTACGGTTGGTGATGTAAGGCTTGGGTGCAGCTGCACAGCCATAGAAACCCATTTCATGAAGCTCTCTACGCACTGTTCTTGAGCTGATCTGAAGGCCACATGAGGTTTGGAGGTCTGTAGCAATTGACTCTGCAGAAAGTTGGCTACCTCTGTGCAGTATGTGCTTCAGCATCCGCTTCCCCCGTTTTGTGATTTTACGTGGTCTCCCACTGCGTGGCTGAGTTGCTGTTGTTCCCAATCGCTTCCACTTTGTTATAATACTACTAACAGTTGACTGTGGAATATTTAGTAGTGAGGAAATTTCACGACTAGACCTGCTGGACAGATGGCATCCTATCACAGTACCACGCTGGAATTCACTGAGCTCCTGAGAGCGACCCATTTCTTACAAATGTTTGTAGAAGCAGTCTGCAGGCCTAGATGCTTGATTCTTTTTTTTCAATCACTTCCTGTGGCCATGGAAGTGATTGGAACACACAAATTCAAATGTTTTTCACTCAATGGATGAGTGAATACGTTTGGCAATAGAGTGTATCATGATACCAGTTACATTATTATATCATTCCTTTGTTTTTGTCTTTAACCTTCTCATTGAAACAGCTTTTGTCCTTTTTTATCCATTAATTTTGGATTTACAGTAAATTCGCTACAATATTAAATGAGTGTATTCAGCATTAACGGTTAAAATGTGGGAAGATTTGTCTGCTGTCACTGGATCGTGCTGAAGTCTGAATTTGAGGGCAGCTCCTGTAATCACAAACAGAAAAGAATCATCAATCAAATGTGAAGTTTATTCCTCAAAGCTGAAAAAAAGTTTATTCCTTCTCAGTCCTCACACACTTCAGGTTCATAAGTTCTGAGCTTACATTTTTTCAGTCTACAGTTTTGCTGACAGCTAGCAGGTGGACTGTTTGTTAAAAAAAAAAGACAAAGTTCTATAAATATAAACAGATTATCAAGTATAATATTTCACCTTCGAGTTGTTGATTTACAAAGATGAGCTGATGGGACAGGTTTCCAATCCTGGTTTAGTTGTGTTGCTGCATCAGGGTCATCTGCAGGAAAACTGAAAGAAACATGGCGGTTTTAGGACCACTTTGAGCTGTTGCTTTAGCATTGAACAATATATATTAACGATTCATATTATTTCTCTCAAAGGATGTAAGCTGTACAGAGTACGGCGCATGTAACTGTGTTAGCAACAAACTGAGATATTAGCTAGAGACTCGAGCTGATATTACAGGCAGTTTGTGAATGAATTAATACCGTGAGAATATTTTCAATCACCTCAATAATTCATCTTTGGTGATTACAGCGTTTAATCTGTTCATGTGAGGTTGTAGAAGTGCATGACACGTTTGTTGTGTTTTAGTGTTACTGTTTGGAGAGAGAAAGCTGTAGAAGAGTCCAGCTCACTCATGTCACAGTAATGCCTGATTTAGACTTCTGCAGGGAGTCTGCAGAACTAAGGGAAACAATGGTTTGTGACTGAGCAGTAGTGGTGTGCAGGATTGGAAATTTTGGTATTGATCTGATACCAAGTAATACAGGGTCAGTATTGCTGATACCAATACAGATGTTTTTAGCCTATAAATGCCTCATCTTAAACTACCTGCAGCCGGTTTGATCATCCTTCAGCTCCGTACAGTCAAAGCAATAGAGCTAATGTCTGGACTACAGCAGATACTTTAATTAGCATCAAAGCACAAGAGAGTGATTTCTGTATTCAGGGTAAATTCATTCATGTGCACAGATTAACTACCGAACAACAGCTTTCTCCCAACTGCTCTTCTTAGCTAGCTAAAGGCGTTTATTACTGATTAGCGTACAAACACATTTAATTCACCCAAAAAGTGCAACGACGCCTCAGGGCCTTCTGTCGGTTAGTCCGGTTTACTGCAGACCACCTCACCTCACCTCAGTTTGAACTGCCCCTGCTCTAGCTTCTTCTTCGTTGGAGGTCAATGGTGGTTGGCAAACCACACTTACAAGTGCATTACCGCCACCTACATGAGTGGATGGTGGACCTGCTGGGTGTTTCGCTCTTCAGTGTAGTGTATAGTTTAAACCTGTATGTCCTTTTCTCAAGCGAGTAAATAACATCTCTTCCTCTGGGTTCCTTCCATATCCATAGAGTTAAATTTATTAAGAAAAATGTTTTTTCAACAAGTTTTATGCATCAACTTAAAGCCTAAAAGAATATTCATTTTGTTTTATGGTATTTGGGGAATCAAGTATACTTTTAGCCATTATCAACCTACCTGCAGATAGAATTGAATAATTTATTATTACACTAAATTGATCACAAAGACAGCCCACAGCATGACTTTGATTTTTCGAAGCTTTATTTCCTTATGTTCTCAACCATCCTATCCTTTTTTCAAACAGATGTGGCCCCACAGGCCTGTCAGATGAACTCAGGTACTCTTTCATCATCTCTCTGCAGAAATGCACTGGGTTAAAGTAATTTAAAACTGAATCCATTACTTGTTTAATAGTATTTAACAGAATTACTTTTAGCAGTTTTAACTGTGCCGGGACTACTGCTGAGCAATTACATTGACAGTAACCTAGTATTCTGATCAATGTAAAAGCTACTGATTGATCCTGTAAATTACCCCCTGGTATATTTGTACCCTTGGTTGGAATTCATTGGTCTAAATGCACTTTCTGTCATCCTTAAAAAAAAAAGAAAAAAGTTCAGTATAAATCAACTTTATTTATGATTCATTTTTAGCTATATATCTGTGTTTAGTGTATATATTTATATATGTATATATATATATACACACATATACACACACATACACACATTATCATACACACGCACACGCGCGCGCACACACACAATGGCATGATCAGACATTGTGTAAAGATAAACATGCAGTAGATAAGACGGGGCCGAGAGTTTTGGCTTTTAAGTGTTTCTCCCCGTGACCTTGGACAGTCTTTAAAGAAAACCATTGAAACCCTATTTATACAGTATTCAGAAAGACAAAATATTTCTGCCAAGCAAAAAGAAGTGAAGAGAGCATTTTTTGCAAATAAATTACAGTTTTCAGACAAGAGAGAACCAGACTCCAAGGCTGGACAACGAAGAGCTGGAGTGCAGATCAGCATTCAGACTTTTCTGAGGTGAAAAGCAGCACAGCTTCATGATCCATATATGAAAAATGGGGAACTAAAGCTACAAGTATTTTACATATAAAGTCAAACAAAGCAAACAAAAAAAAAAATGTAGTGAAGTATAAATGTGTGTATAGTTTGTGTCACAGACTCAGGATATCTCTGAGGTGAAGTTGTCCTTGAGTGATGTTTGCTTTCAGCGTCCATGCCTCTTTAGTATAAAGGTAAGCATGACAGGGGAAAAGTGCAAATGGATCAAAGCTGAAGGGCAAAAATCACCCAACACATGGGACTGAACAGTGTCTTTAAAGCAGGACCTAGACTACAGGTCTGAGCATCACAGTGGAACATTGTTGGATTTGACAGTATAACCATACTGCAACTCTTCCAGTGCTTACAACAGCTGACGCGAGCCATTCATCACATTAGTATTTCAAGCACACTAAACCAACAGGTTCAATAAAACAGCATGAAAAAAAAAAAAAAAAGAAGAACAGCGAGTCTACAGGCTGCTGATCATCATTAACCACTTTGTTTCTAATGAATCAAGATGTAAACACAAAAAGTGTCTTTTGATGTAACAGAACTGGTTTTTTTCAGTCATTTTTTTCAATCCTTGCTTAAAAGTTCAATTCACCCAAATTTCAAATAGACATATCTTCTTTAAATTTAACAAGTCTGACTTTTGAGCTTTTTTCCTCTAATAAAGGAGGTCAGAGGAATTTCCTTATAGTGCTAAAGTACTAAAGAGAAAAGACAAAGCTTTTCTTATTTGGAACATGGGTGAACCAAACTTTGAGTTATGTAAGATTACAGGTTAGTGATAGAAAGTGCAGTAAAAATTCAAACTGAACGGGTGTCGTAGCAGCCAAAGACATAAACAGAGAAACTACACCATCAGACATTTGTGGAGGAATTCCTGATGCGAGTTGTTGAAAACTGACATCTTCATTGATCTGCATATGTTACACCTGAAATGTGTGAAATGATGTATTGATGATGCTTGTGGCATTAGTCCATTAATCAATCAGAGAATCAATATCAAAGATAATCAATTCTCCTTCTCCAGTGTGAGGATTTGTTGCATTTTTCTCCATTGTATGATTGTATATTGACCATCTGGCACTTTGTAGTCTTAGAAATAAATAACTGCTAGCTGAGGTTCAAAATGATGATTTTATGAACCTGATGTCCACGGTGAATGACGTTTTCCTTAATGAAATGTGTTTTGGACTGGAAATGTGTAAAACATCAAACAAGGGGTAACATTTCTGTTGGGCTGGAAGCAGTTACAGTAACGAAAATGTTTAACTGAGAAATTCCTTCCTTTCCCAGATCCATGGATGAATAACACCTGATATGAATAAATACAGAACTTGGATGCTGACTCACATTCTTTGTTCGGGCTGATCCCACCCCACATCATGAATACCTTCACTTACTGGGTCCATCGAGACTCTAGAAAGTGACACTTTGTAGAGTATCTGGGCGAGATGCAAGAGGAAGTCCAAGAGCAGTGCTGTTCAGAAAGCAAACAAAAAGAAGCTCCTGCTGCAGAAGAACAAGATAAAATGGTGCGGTGGTCTGTAGCGCTCTCCTCTTTTCCGTCTTTGCTCCTGTTTTATTCCGCATGAAACCCGACTGTATGGCTTCAGTTGTGTGTGCTTGAGTGTGTTTGCAGTCCGAGACGTCAGGATGATAAAAAGGCTGTCTCATTGTTCGTTACTTGGGTTGGTTTGTTTTGCACGCTTGCCTTGACATGTAGCATTCAGCAGACTCTGACTGTGTGCATCTGTATGCGAGTGTGTCTACGTCCTGGGGCGGGGCGCGAAAGAGAGTGATGATGGGCAGCTCACACTTGAAGCTGTGAAGTGGTGCGGGGGGCGGGGAAGGGGGATGCCTGAAGGTGTGTTACGTGTATTTATGAATACAGACATTTCTCAGTCCAGGAAGAGAGTGGGGGCAGGCCTCACATCTCTGGCTGTTCAGCAGTGACGAGCTGTGGTGCGTCTGCATGTATTATCAGTTCTTAGCCCGGCCCTCACATCTCTGGCTGCTCTGCAGTTACCGGCTGGGTTCGGGGCTCGGGAGACTCGTAGCGCTGGTGGAAGTTTCTTTTCCTCAGCTTCTCTGGAGCTTTTCTCCACAAAACAATCTCCTAAACACAGACACAGAGCAGCAAAAATAAAAAATACGGTAATGCATGTTTTTAATGTAGAACTATTCATGTACTTATCATATGGAAAAGTTAAGCAAGCTGGAGGTCAGGGTGGGGCTGCATATTGCACATCGGCACAGAGCCACACACCACAATTAAATTACATTAAACTAAAAACAGCAGTCGCTGAGATTATAACGGCTGCAGGCAGTTCAACTTAATGTAATTTTAATTATGTCAAAATGATCCATCAAAGAGATAACTAATAAATGTGCCTAAGACACTATACGTCCTTTATCCCTTGTTTTTTAAGGAATTTTTTGTTATTTTCTTCTGCTACCAAACACACACACACACAAACTATTCAAAGAAGTATTGCTTTTAGAAACGAAATCTAGATGTAATCAAGCACAAATGAAATCCAGTTAATCTTTTTATGCAACAGGAAATTTTATTTACAAATGTGAAGTTAATATGCCAACTAAGGTGGGCTAAATTATGGACGTGTACGTGAATGAGATCAACTGTGATTCAGTGCTGGTATATGTTGTATCCACTGGCCAATTCATTGGATATGCCTATTAAACTGTATAGTGCAAGTATCTATTTAGCCAATCACATGGAAGCATGTAAACATGGTCAAGATGTCCAGCTGAAGTTCAAACTGAGCATCAGAATGGGGAAATAGGTCGAATTAAAAAGATTTTGAACGTGTCAAGGCTGTTGGTGCCAGAGTGTCTGAGCATTTCAAAAACTGCTGATCTACTGTGATTCTCCCACATATGGAACGAAATCAGGGTCAAAAAGTTATTTGAAACTAAAATTCTAAGTTTTGATATTTAAAAACATAAAAAATGTGTTAAAAAAAAATACACAAAAACAGAAATGTTGCAAAAATGTGTTGTGAGCGTGTATCAAAGGGGAAGGGCGGGGCATAGACTAATGATTGACACCTACTGTGTCACGTTTGTTACAAATTAAAAAGCGGTATTTTGGTTGAACATGGCCACTGCTCGTTCACAGGATGCCGCTGGTACCACCCAACAGGTAAGAAACATGGTTTTTGATCATCTTGTGATGGACAGAAATAAATAATATACAGAAATGAACAGGCTGTTAGATTTCTTTACGGCATTCATAGCTCTTTTAGCTCAGCGACCTACCAGCCAATCAGATAACAGTATTCCCGTAACAAAAGGGTTTGAAACAAAAAAAAAAAAATTACTTTGAAGCTGCATGAAAACAAATAATTTATTAAAAATAAAGTAATTTAGGTTTTTCAAACACATTTTGTTTTTGTTTCAAATATCAAAATAATTTCAGTTTCTAATCACTTTTTCAAATGAATGAAACCTTTGACTCTGATTTAGCTCCACAGTCATCTCTACGGCTGGCCCCAAAAAAGAGAAAATATCCAGCGAGCAACAGCTGGTCTGAAAATGGCTCGTTGAAGTCAGAGGTCACAGGAGAACAGACTGACTGCTTTGAAAGGATCAAAAGGCAGCAGTAACTTAAATAAGCACTTGTCACAACCAATGTATGCAGAGGGACACGTCGGATCTTGAAGCAGATGGGTTACAGCAGAAAGATCGCATTGGATGCCACTCCTGTCAGCTAAGAATAGGAAACTGCAGCTACAATTCAGAGAGG